TGTTTAATTCTAGTACAGATATTCAGACTGGAGCCCATGCTCTAGGAGCCTGTGAGGCGAGAGGGTCCCAGGGCTTGGGCTGTAGCCTGAGCCCAAATGTCTACACTGCAATTAAACAGCCCCTTAGCCCAAGCCCTGCAAGCCCTAGTAAGCTGGCACGGGCCAGCCATGAGTTTCTAATTGCAATGTAGACACACCCTCAGAGCCCAAGCTGGACTGCAATATTTAGCACTGTAGTGCAAGCCCCATTATCCTGAGTCTGTAGATCTGAGCTCTGAGACAAGCTGCTGCAGGGTTTGGGGTTTTTGGTTTTTTTTATTTTTGCAGTATAATCATGCCCTCGGTGCCTTGTATCACTAGAATAATAGTTCTACAAAGAAAAGTCTGTACTACAGAGCCGGGAAGACTCTCCAGGTTTCACTGTAGTAGGAACAGAAAAGTGTGATGCAGCCAATCCTGGAGAAAATATTAATTTCTATCTCAATTGTGCACCATCCAGCCCGTACTCACAATACATCTTCAGTGGTGCTGGCAGCACAGTTACACACTAAAGAAACCTACCTAGTGCAGGCAGTGTTGGTTTGTTTTTTTGTTGTTGTTTTTTTAATTAAAGTAGAGAGTCTGGACCATTTCCCAGGTAATTCATCACCTCTTTGAAATTATATTCCTCAAACCACAGAGAATGAGGCTAACCAAAGAGGCAGTACGAGAAACTATTCTGTGGGTGACCCCTCCTCAAATAGGTAGTTGTTAGCAAGTTAGCAAATGCCAGCTGGTACACCTGTTTGCCACATATGCACAACTCTATCCATGCCACTGTTCGTCCATATGCAGAACAGACCACATCACTGTTTGGTAGGTTATTTGGGAGAAAACATTTCAAAGGGAGAGAATGAAGAGAACACTTGCATGAAAAATGTGGTCTTGTGCTTTCGATCATGAACACACATGCTCTCAATGTTTTTCCATCTCTGTGGCTCTCTACTCAGATTTTGCTTGAGGACAGAAAAGTAAAACTTAAGGTCCCTTTTTTGGATCTGAATGGAAGAATTCTTGTACATATGACATCACTGCTTGCACACAAGAACAGAGAAGAATTGTTCAGGATGTTGTTGCATACACACAAATAGCAGTGATTGCAATGAACGCTGTTCTGTGCAATGTCAAAAACAGTTTTGCTAATTTCATTTACATTAAAAATGATATTGACATGATCAGCAAGCCCTTTTATGACTACAGTGGGAGTTTAGGGGTGCAAGGAATGCTAGACTGATCCCTACATATAACTTGTAAAGAAGGTCAGATTTAGGCCTTACCGTGTCCATTTTGTCTTATTTCTCAGAATAAATCTCTTATCCTTATATTCTCTTCCCCCCCCCCTTTTTTTTAAAGGATACTATTTCTTTCACACTCACTCTATCACCATAACTCTCAGATTATGGTGTTTGGATGGGTGGATCACAAAGTGAAACACTCTGAGAACAAGTCATGAAGGACTGAGGGACAGGGAGAAGAGATGAATGACACAAAGGCTTTCCTTTTATGAAGTTGTCAAACTGTTTCTTAGCAGTTGTGATGAATACCAATCATCATGACACATTTGTAAATACCAAGTCATTGGGGCAACTTTTTTGTTCCTGTTCCAACAGTGGCCTGTGAGCCTCTTAAATTTTGGGCCCAGCTTTGCAGCCTTTTCTCAGAGGAGCAGGCTTGTCATCACCAGACTACTCCAGTCAGAGCACATACTATATGCCACCCCCAGGAGTAAAGGCTGCAGGATTGGGCCTTTGACACTTGCAGTGTATCTACAATCCAGCTAACATATATCCCCTGCTCCTACTCAAGTGAATGGCAAGATTGCTGTTTACTTTCATAGGAGTGCTGGATCAAGCCTATATGGTTGCATTAAAAGCATGTAACACATATGGCATTCTCACACACTGTCTACTCCTTTCACAAACTAATTCTGCCATTGATTATAATTCAAAAGCAGTTTTTCTTCTAGACCATTGACATAAACTGATTCAGATTTAGTCTTCTGGATAGGTTTAGGCATAGTAGGCTTGATTCTGATCTCTCACACATGGTACATCAGTGTTACTCCCATGAGTTCAATAAAGTTACTCCTGATTTGCACTGGTAAAAGTGAGAGCTGAATCAGGCTCCCTTAATATGTCTAATAATCATAACACCTTGCCATTTGGTATATCAGTGGGGTTCCTACTTGAATAGGCTTATTCTTTTCTCAGCCATGATAATCTGACTGGGTCTAACCAGAAATAGCCTAAACACCTATCAGTTTAAGTCTAAGAACTGTTCCTCCAACACCAGGAAGTATTTCACAAGAGAAGGTTAGTCTCGACTAGAGTGTGACTATAAATTAATATTTAGCATGAATTCAGGTTATGGTATACATATTTTCTTGTATAAATTCCTCTCTTTCCTCTTTGTGTGTCAGGGTCTTCATGGTATACAAGGAAATCATTTTCACACGTAAGAATTGCAATATTTTTGTTGATCTGTATAATCTACTCAAAATATTTAAATATGAAACAAAATATGCACTTTTCCTAGAGCATACTATATAAAATCAACAGAAGTTATGACCATTCCTTGAAGGCTGTCCTGGGAATTTGATTTCAAATACTGAACCACGTATACTATGCAGATAAAGAAATACTGATATTATGAGAGATACGCTTATCTATTCTATTTAACAGCCAAAAGTAATGTAAAATCAGCACCAGAAATAGCAAGAAATGTAAATACTTATGTATGTGTTCCATGGAAGGGCTGAGTGTTTGATTTTTGCATTTTACTTCAATATATTTTGGAATTTTTGTTTCATCCAGACCCCTCTCTTGGTCCGTCCCCAGACAGCACGCTGGGATTTCTAAAAACTGCAAACTCTAAGGAAAGTGAATGCACCACATAACTTCTTCTTAACCTGTAGACAGACATACAAATGCACAGGCCCACCAAGTATTTTACATTCGGTTTGTTAATGTTTTTTTAACTCATTCAGAAAAAAATACACATACATTTTCTTAATTTGTGATTGGGAAATTCAGAATTAACAAAACACTTCACACCTTCACTAACCTGTCAATCATTTCTTAAAGATTAACCCAGGGCATATGCTATTAATGGACTACAATACTGAAATCTCTAAATATGATGAAAAACTGATCATCTCAGATGAACAGAATTCATTTCTTACTATGACTTCTACAACAAAATAGATTGTGTTCACTCTCTCTTTAGCTCTCACACTCTGCATGCCAGAGTGCTTTTTTAGACTTTAAAGACATTACCAGATGAAGTCCAGATAGAAACCACATAATAGGAATGTACCTAGTGAGAAAGAACTTTACATTGTGAAGGTAAGTCACATATGTGGCACACACTATAGACTTCTATAAGGGCACACAGTATGAGAGTAATGATAATTATTCCATATTGTATTTCCTAGGGCACCATCTAGCAGGATAGGGGATTAACATTCACAAAATTAGAGAGGCAAGTAAAGACAAATGCAAAGTAGTCTGTTCCCTCAATACCACATTAGTGCTTTTAGCTGGACTTGAACCTAGGTAGAAGAAAACTATTGCTACAAATGCTGATTTCCATAACAAATTATACCGTTCAGAGACAGGGAAACAGAACTGATCGTGGTATAGCAAACAACACAACACAACACACAACCTTTGCAAGTAAATGGCAATGCACTCTCAGTTACCCTTTTATTGCCCAGAAAAGATTTCACAAAATATTTGAACTGTGAACACCTTAGTATAGCTTTCACTGCAAAGAGCAAATTGGTAACACACGTGGTAGGTCATTTAATCCGATTCTTTTTATCTGTTAACACTGCGTTTGTACTGAAATGTTAGTGATCCCACTATCTGAGAACAGACAAGACCATCACTGTGGAAGGCTACGTAGCCCGAATCTGGTCAGCCTTTTGCACGCTCCTGAAACACTTTTCGGGTCTCACACGCACAGGGCAAGAGTCCTAATTCACGTACACCAGCTGTATAACAGCCAGCAGTAGCCGTGGTTTATACTGGTGTGAACGGGATCAGAATCTGGCCTGCCCAGTCCTGGGGCTAGAGTTAATCCAACCCCCTTCACGGAGGCAGCCAGAGACACCACGCCCCCCGCATCTCAGCAACTGACTGAATGGCCACGGTTCAGAAATGTCTCCGAAACCTGTGCAGGCGGAACAGACGGAAAAGGTGGCTGCTTTACAAAGGAAAGAGACGCGGATCAGGAGCGGGTCTGAAGTGGGAAAGAGAAGCTGCCGTATGCCTTGAGTGCAAGCCCCACTAAGCACCGGCAGGCAGCCACGTCCTTTCTGCTCCGGGAGGAAGGCTCCCGGCGCCAGAGCGCTGGTCCCGAACTCTTTCACGCCTTGCTTCCGCCTCAGCGACTGCCCCCGCTCCGCGCGCCGCAACCCACCCCGCGCTATGGCGATTGTGTCCCGCCAGCGAACCAGATGCAGATCGCTCCGTCTCGGCCTTTAAACCAGGGGTCTGGTAACTGAACGGCCGCGCTTCCCGCACTAACTTGGCCAGAGCCTGCCTCGCCCCCCACAGCCGCCACTTCCGAGCCACATGGGCCGCCTCTCTCGGGTACAAAGCCGGGGGGGGGGGGAAGGCGGGACACGGTGCAAGCGGAGCCCCCCGGCAGCACCTGGGAGCAAACAGCCCAGCCGGTGCCCCGCTTCCCTGCAGACAATGGGTGAGCGGCTCCTACGGCAGTCTGGCTCCTTCCTACACATCCGAGACAGGGACGGAGCCCTGGAAATGGAAGCTGAAATCCCCAGGGACTGGTAGCTTCGATCTCCCCCCCCCCCCTACACACACACAGCCTCCCCCACCGCCTCCCCAGGGAGTCCCGGCCGGGGGAAGGGGATGGAGACGAAGGCAGAGCCCCCCAGCCCGCCCCGCCGTGCGGCTCCGGTGTGCCGGATCGCGCTGGGGAAGGCATGCACTCACCAGGACGACGGCAAATCTCTCCTCCAGTTCACCTGGCTCGGGCATTGGCAGCTTGAGAGGCATGTTGTGAGCCCTGAAGTCCGTCTGCTGAGAATCCATGCTCCCGGCATTGCCCATGGCGATGGCCCTTCCGCGGAGAGGGGCGATTTTTCCTGCTCTTCCCCTCGCTCAGTCCGTGTGCAATGCACCGCACAGCCTCTCTCTCCGTTATTCCTTCTCCACCACCCCCCTCCCCACACACCCCTTCCCCTCCTCCCCGGCTGAGCCCGATCCGGTGTCCCCCCCGGCCCCAAACCAAACAGCCACGGGGAAGCGAGTTGCACAGATCTAGGTCTCCCTCTAGCACTGGCCGTGGAAATGATCGACTTCAACCTTCATGCTGGCTTCCTCCTCTCCCTCCTGCCCGGGGCAAGCTCGCTCTCTTTCTTCGGGAGAGGTCGTTAGGAAGCCGGGATCTTATCTGCATGTTGCACAATTTCCACACCACTCCCCGCTCGCAATCCTGATGGTGAGATACATGATTCCGGCTTAGCGGTCCCTCTTGCGCCCCGGCTACCCCTGTTGTGGCTGCTGCTGCCGCTGCCTCTGACACATACACGCTGGGCCCCCGCCCCCCCCCACACACACACAACACAAAACTCAGGCGAGCCGCAGCAGATTCCGATTCCAGACAAACGCAGACCCCAGCCAGCAGCAGCACAAAGCCCCCTTTCGCTAGCCACCTCCCACTGAGCCGCTCTCCGCCCCCGCCCCGGGGATAGCTGGGACTCGTAGGCCCTGCCTGCGGTTCGCAGGAATCAACATGCACATTCAAAAGGAGCCAAACACAGCGAGCCCTAAACCAGATCACACGTGGAAACAAACTTGTCAGACCGTAAGGAGGATTTCTATTTTTTTTCCTACCCAGGGTTCCCTAAACAGAAGATTGTTTGCAGGCCACAGAAATTCAGTCTGATTTTAGTGTAGCCAACCTCCAAATTTTAAATATTTAATAAGAGCGTGGGGAATCATAATGGCCATGAGATGATTTATTTCAACCTTTATCACAGTATATTGTGAAAAGAAAAGGAATACTTGTGGCACCTTAGAGACGAACAGATTTATTTGAGCATAAGCTTTCGTGAGCTCACTTCATCTGATGCATTCAGTGGAAAATACAGTGGGGAGATTTATATACACAGAGAACATGAAACAATGGGTGTTACCATACACACTGTAATGAGAGAGATCACTTAAGGTGAGCTATTACCAGCAGGAGAGCGGGGGGGAGGGCGGCTGTAGACAAGAGTACCCAGAAGTCACCTACTACAGGACGGGCCCAACAAAGAAAATAACAGAATGCCACTTAGCTGTCACCTTCAGCCCCCAACTAAAACCTCTCCAGTGCATCATCAAGGATCTACAACCTATCCTGAAGGATGACCCATCACTCTCACAGATCTTGGGAGACAGGCAAGTCCTTGTTTACAGACAGCCCCCCAACCTGAAGCAAATACTCACCAGCAACCACACACCACACAACAGAACCACTAACCCAGGAACCTATCCTTGCAACAAAGCCCGTTTCCAACTGTGTCCACATATCTATCCAGGGGACACCATCCTAGGGCCTAATCACATCAGCCACACTATCAGAGGCTCGTTCACCTGCACGTCTACCAATGTGATATATGCCATTATGTGCCAGCAATGCCCCTCTGCCATGTACATTGGTCAAACTGGACAGTCTCTACATAAAAGAATAAATGGACACAAATCAGACGTCAAGAATTATAACATTCAAAAACCAGTTGGAGAACTCTTTTGGTCACTCGATTACAGACCTAAAAGTGGCAATTCTTCAACAAAAAAAACTTCAAAAACAGACTCCAAGAAGAGACTGCTGAATTGGAATTAATTTGCAGACTGGATACAATTAAGTTAGGCTTGAATAGACTCTGGGAGTGGATGGGTCATTACACAAAGTAAAACTATTTCCCCTTGTTTATTCCACCTTCCACCCCCCACTGTTCCTCAGACATTCTTGTCAACTGCTAAAAATGGCCCACCTTGATTATCACTACAAAAGGTTCTCCCCTCCCCCGCCCCGCTGGTAATAGCTCACCTTAAATGATCACTCTCTTTACAGTGTATATGGTAACACCCATTGTTTCATGTTCTCTATGTATATAAAGCTCCCCACTGTACTTTCCACTGAATGCATCCAATGAAGTGAACTGTAGCTCACGAAAGCTTATGCTCAAATAAATTTGTTAGTCTCTAAGGTGCCACAAGTACTCCTTTTCTTTTTGCGAAACAGACTAACACGGCTGCTACTCTGAAACCTATATTGTGAAAGTTACCCAAGCTAGACAATTGCAAAATTTTCCTACATCAGTGAAATTCTCATCCTCTGCCAACCCCAGGGTCATATTTTAGGGAGTTATAATACAGAGAACAAACCACAGTCCTGTGCCTGAGGTTTGAAGCATTCTGTGACAGCTATAGTGAAGGTTGCTAAATAGTTTCTGTTTTAAATCCCCTTTTCCAGATGGTTTTTTCTTTGTAAAACTTCCAGCTTTTGGGACACTATTTTCCGTGGTTGGTCTCTGCATAGGTGGGTTTACCATTCGTTTGGTGGAAATGATGATCAGTAAGAATTCAGCCATATCTGAATGAGATGGAGAGGAAAAAATATATTTCTCCCATTATAAACAAATATCTTGTGACCTTTCAGTGAAAAAGTATGAGGCGATCTGAAAGCTAGCTAGTGTATCATAATACATGAAGGGGGGCAGAGTTAAGGGTCCACATTGAGTCTTAACTTTGTCATTTCCTGATTTTTGAATGGGTAATTATGCAGCCTTAATATTCTCTTAATATAGTTATTGTATTTAATTTTAAATATTAATTTGCAACACTTCACTGAATATCACCAGACAGCAAAGATAAGTAATTATGTCTTTAACTGAGCTACATAATGAAACAGTGTAAACAAACTTGATGAAGTATCCGGGGGGTAGCCATGTTAGTCTGGATCTGTAAAAGCGGCAAAGAGTCCTGTGGCACCTTATAGACTAACAGATGTATTGGAGCATAAAGCTTTCTTGGGTGAATACCCACTTTGTCAGATGCATGTAGTGGAAATTTCCAGAGGCAGGTATAAATATACAAGCAAGAATCAGGCTAGGGATCACGAGGTTAGTTCAATCAGGGAGGATGAGGCCCTCTTCTAGCAGTTGAGGTGTGAACACCAAGGGAGGAGAAACTGCTTTTGTAGTTGGCTAGCCAGTCACAGTCTTTGTTTAATCCTGAGCTGATGGTGTCAAATTTGCAAATGAACTGAAGCTCATCAGTTTCTCTTTGAAGTCTGGTCCTGAAGTTTTTTTGTGGCAGGATGGCTACCTATAAATCTGCTATTGTGTGAGATGGAAGTGTTCCCCTACAGGTTTTTGTATATTGCCATTCCTAATATCCGATTTGTGTCCATTTATCCTTTTACGCAGGGACTGTCCAGTTTGGCCGATGTACATAGCAGAGGGGCATTGCTGGCAGATGATGGCGTATATTACATTGGTGGACATGCAGGTGAATGAACTGGTGATGGTGTGGCTGATCTGGTTAGGTCCTGTGATGGTGTCGCTGGTGTAGATATGTGGGCAGAGTTGGCATCGAGGTTTGTTGCATAGATTGGTTCCTGAGTTAGAGCTACTATGGTGTGGTGTGTAGTTGATGGTGAGAATATGCTTCAGGTTGGTGGGTTGTCTGTGGGTGAGGACTGGCCTGCCTCCCAAGGCTTATGAAAGTGAGGGATTGTTGTCTAGGATGGGTTGTAGATCACTGATGATACATTGGAGAGATTTTAGCTGAGGACTGTATGTGATGGCCAGTGGAGTTCTGTTGGTTTCTTTCTTGGGTTTGTCTCGCAGCAGAAGGCTTCTGGGTACATGTCTGGCTCTGTTGATCTGTTTCCTTATTTCCTTGTGTGGGTATCGTAGTTTTGAGAATGCTTGGTGAAGATCTAGTAGGTGTTGGTCTCTGTCTGAAGGGTTGGAGCAAATGCGGTTGTATCTCAGTGCTTGGCTGTAGACAATGGATCGTGTGGTGTGTCCGGGATGGAAGCTGGAGGCATGAAGAAACTTGATGAAGAAAGTCAAACCCAGAGTTTTAGTGTTGCCAGATAGCTCAGCTTCTCATGTATTGTTCATTTACACTGCATTTTTGAAGAAAATTAACATGCTGAGTGTTGATGGTCTCCATAAAGATGAAGACACATTCAAAATGTTTGTTTGCATACAAATCATCAGAGTAAAAAACAATATCCCAAAAAATAGTGAAATAAACTATGAAGCTAGGGGAAATGTGTGCAATAAATTATTCAGTGGAAAGAAGACTATAACAGGAGTAGGATCACACCTTACATCCATATTTCTGGGATGCAAGTTGAGTGATGTACTCTTTATCCTCACATGTTAACTTGAGAAAAATACCTTTTCACTCCAACAATACATAAGTATTTGCTTCAGCATCTAGCTCAGCAACCCCATCTGTGGTGCAGCACTAGGAGAGTGTGAAAGCGAAATGTTAAAGTAGTAATGTGTGCAACATAAACCTGTAATCAGTCAATATCCTGCCATATATAAAATTACTTGGCAGAGATTAACTCAGATATAAAGAGCATGGTTTTACTTGCTTTGACCACTTGCTTTGCACTGAATGAATCAAGGGTCCTGTGTTAAAAAATATTGTAGGAATATGTCATTAAAGTCCTTATCATAATGCATAACACAAGAGGGGGCGAATTCAGGTTGGATGGGCAATGTTCATTCTGGCATTTCTTAATTTGAGACCGGCTGACTTTGCAACCTTGTAATCCTTTTTAATCCTTAACTTTGTATTTCCTCATTCTTTTATGGTTTCATTTATTGATGAGAGCCACCATAACTAATGGTAAATGAATGGGGGTTTTGTTTGTGAATTTCCTTAATTTTTTTAATAGAAAGAAAATATTTTATATATGTGCTATTTAAATAATAAAGCATTTACACATTTGTTGTCTTCACTGTGTAATTTATTGCCTTTGATTAAAAAAAGTGCCATATTTCACCATACAGAGCCATTTTGGACCAATATATCATAAGTAATTACATTAAATTGTATTAAAAGGAAACATTTTAAATGCAATTTCCATTCTGCTGCAACTTCTACATGACATTTATTTTTTTAATTGTGTAACAGAAAACTGAGTAGAGATTCACAATGATAATTTCTGGTGGGGGGAGCTGTTAAAAAGTAAATATTCAGAAAACTGTAGCCCCTAATTTGTAAGAAATAGATATGGGGTAGTCAATAGGTGGCCCACGGGCAAATCCAGGCTGCCAGATGCTTTTGAATAGACCATGAAATCTTTTAATTTTATTATTAATTAATTATTAATTATTATTATTTATTTTCTCTGGAGTCTGGACCTTGACTATACCTTGACCAAGAACTTTGGACCTTGACAAAAAAAATTGATATTCCTGAAATAGATAAACAATATACATGAAAAGGAGCTAGAATTTTGTGTCTTATTTTCATGTAACCCCTTTTGAGGAAAGTAACTAACAGGTTAATCTTTGAAAAGAAACAGTGTAACTTACCGCAGTACAAACCTAAAGGAGCACAGCCAGAGCTGATCCAAACCCAGTCTGCTTTCAGTGCAGCTCCTCCTGGGCCC